TTCAGCCACTGAGGAGCCCTGGCAGGAGATCTGAGAGAGGAAAGAGAATGAGATCGGGATATTTCTTCCTCTGGTGCCCTCCCTGCAAGGTCATATTGTGTTGGCTGTGTCCCACTGCTCTTCTCAAAGGAGCTTCCTCTACCTGACTCTCTCCTCCAGGTTCCAGGAATCTCTCACTCTCCCAGTCCCTTGGCCTAGAGGTGGTTACCCCTCAGCTGCCAATAGTGGTTATTGCAATGTCCTCTGTGGTTCCCCTAATCCAAATCTCTGCAAATAGTTGTTTGCAAAGAAAACTTTCTTGAATATCCTAATTTGAGTGTGCCATCTGTTTCCTTTTGGGAGTCTAAGTAGCATCTATCAAAATCCTATTGCAAATGTACTTGGTTTTCAAACCAGTCCCATTTATGTCATGGATAAGACAAGGATGCCCATTATCACTGCTTATATTCAACATTACAAGAGAAGTTCTAGCCAATGCAAAAGTAAAAAAAAAAAAAACAAAAAAAACCCAAAAAAAAAAACAAGTAGAAGCAATAAGAATTGTGAAGACAGAAGAAAAATTATTCTTATTTATGGAAGATATTGTCTATGTAGAAAATTTGGAAGACTCTATAGACAATTAGAATTAACAAGGTATTTTAATAAAGTAGTGGAACACAAAATTCAATATACAAAAATCAGTAACTTTTTAATTCACAAATAATAATCATTTAGAAAATGAAATGGGAAAAAAGACCTCATTCATAACAGGAGGAAAAAACCCCTGTAATGTATATTGTTGGCCAGTGTCAACTTGGGTAGGCTACAGTCTCCAGTTATTCAAACACTAATCTAAGTGTTGCTGCAAAATTATCTTGTAGATGTGATTAAAGTCCATAATCAGTTGACTTTAAGTAAGGAGGATTATTTCAGATAATCTGGGTGGGCCTGATTCAATCAATTGAAAGGATTAAGAACAGAACCGAGGCTTCCCTGAAGAAGAGGAAATTCTACTTGTGGATGGCAGCTTCACTCATCCTGGAGAGTGCCCTTCCTGACGGCCTGCCCTATGGATTTCAAACTTGCCTTGCCAGCCTCTATCATCATGTAAACCAATTCCTTGCAATAAGTCTCTTAATATATGTTTCTCCTAACCATTCTGTTTCTCTGATTGGACCCCAACTGACACAGGTACCTAGAAACAAACCTAAAAAAATCACACAACACCTCTGTAAAGAAATGATGAAACATTATTGAAAGATATAAAATCTGAGTGAAAATGAAGATTTGTGCTATGCTTGTGGTTCAGAAGACAATCTTGTAAACATGATCAATTTTCCCCAAATTAATCTATGAATGCATTAAATCAGAATACTAATGGGAAGATCCAAACTTCAAATGGAAGAGCAAAGGACCATAAATAGCAAAGACAGTTGTAAAGAAGAAGGATGTGAGGGGACTTGCCATATTAGATATAAAGACTTAGCTTAAAGGTACATAATTAAGACAGTCTGGAATCCCTGTGGAAAGACACAAATAGACCAATGTGACAGAAGAGATAGCCCAGAAACAGATTCATGAAGCTCTGGAAATTGGATATATAACAGAAGTAACATTTTAATTCAATGGCCAAAGAATAGATGATTCTATAAAGAGCGCTGGTGCAAAAGATTAACCCAATGGAAAAAAAAGTAAAATTAGATTCCAGTTTTGCTCCTGCACACAAATGAATTTCAGATGGATTAAGAACTAAATGTGAAAAGTTAAATATTATACATTTTGGAAAGAAAGAAGAATATCCTCATGACCTTGGGGAAGATGAAAATTTCTTAGACAAAATACAGGAAATACAAAACACAAAGATTAAGATTGAGAAATTTGACAACAGTAAAAGTGGAAATCTTTGTACACACACAAGCAAAATGAAAAGGCAAATCACATATGGAGAGAAGATGTTTGCAATATATATAACTAACAAAGGACTCATCTAAGATATATAAAGAACTCTCACAGATCACAAAGAAAAAGATAATAGAAAATGGGCAAAGGATTAGAAAAGGCAAGGAAAGGGAATAAGTTGGTAACAATTTGTCTAATGATTAAATGACATAATGAAACCATCCAGGTCAGAACCACCCTCCTTATCCCTTACTAGCAGTATTCATGCTCACCTTTCTCTCCTCTCCATTCATTCGTCCAACATTTATTCAATACCTACTTATTGATCACTTATTACGTGCCAGGGACTGTTCTAGAAACTTGGATACATTAGTGAAGACAACAGACAAAATCTCTGCCTCTATAAAGATGATATTCTAGTATTGGCAGGGAGGCAGTGAAGAAAATACACAATGGACATAATAGATGAGTAAATTGCTTGGTGTTAGATGGAAATAAGTGCTCTGGGGAAAAGAAAAGAGAGTGAAGTGTCAGGGGAATCAGGAGTGCCAGGGTAAGAGTTGCAACTGTCCATTGGTTGTCATGATAAGCCTTATGGGAAGGTGAAATTTAAGCAAATCTTTGGAGACAAGGAAGTCATCTGAGGAATCACCGGAGGACACATGATATGGGGCAGGAGGGGACCTAACTCCACTTTAGGTAGGACCTGAGATGGTTGGACAAGAAGGTGAATCAGCCGGAGGAACAGTGATGATCAGCTCTTCGACGTAGCACATTTGACTCAAGTTCCCTGGCAGAGGCTCTCAGCTCTCAGCAGCTCTGCGTGGGGGACCTCAGTGCATGACCTGCTCTTTACTTGAGGAGTAGATGTTCAGGAAGTGGAGAATGCCAAATATGCACTCAAGTTATTAGGATACAATTAGATTTGGTTTAATAATTAGAAATACTTTTAGAATTTTCTTTGGCAGAGATTAGGCTATTAATTAGCATGTCATGGGAACCCAGCATTTATTATTCTCTCAAAAACCCATTTGTGGTAGAAAATGTGCTGAGCCTTATTTGTGAAGATAATTATAGTTGATATCTTTGGGAGTGTCTGCCAAATTCCCAGTGATTTCCCTCTTCTCTAGGAGGTGTCTCCAGAACCTATGGGGCGGGGGGATTCTCTGCCCACATTTCTACTGCATGAGCATATCCGCTGGTCATAGCTCGTTGGACCAGAACTGGAATTACGAGAAAAATGAGCCAATAAGATCTTTTCTCTCAGGAATTTGGAATTGGAGCCAAGAGGGCCAGGCCAGTGTGTCCTTTGACTGAAACTACAAGGTGCAAATTCAGGGTGGCCATATTTCACCAAGTGGTCTTAAGGAGCAGAGAAAGTCAATCTGCAGGGAGAGAGTAAAGCAAATGCAGGGAGAAGAGCTTAGGGGAGACACACACAGAGTTCCTCTGCCTTTAAGGTTCCAAGGCACAGCTCTTCCCTGAAGTCCAGGTACCTCCCAACTCTTGGGTTCAATAAAACACTCCTCTATCCCTATAACTCATCACATGGTTGTTTTGGCTAGTCAACCGGACTTCCCATACAGTGATGCTTCAGGTCTGCAATAGCAAGGAGTGCATTTGATTTTTTTTCCTGTTGGGGATAATGGGTCTCATTGTCATTCAATCATCTATTCATTCATTCACAAACTTTTGTGGGATAGATATTAAGTGTTAGTGACTGAAGATATAAGACTGAATAAGACATAGTCTTTGCACTCAAACAATTCATTTATTTTGATTCTTCATTTTTAAGGTGGTTGATTAGGATGTGGGGGTGCAGTATTTTACTCTGAAATACCAAAGGTCTCTTTTTGGGCTTAATTGACTTAAGAGTATCAAAGCCTATAGATGTAGAAAGTACTTTATAAACTGTCAACTGCTACTTCAATACTTTTCACCAGTTATAGTAATGGCTCTGAGTTATTCAGCTCAGAAATTCCACAGGAACATATATCAAGACACTCCTTTGAAAGCACGCATTTGATTCAGAAATAAAACATAAGTTTTTAAGTTGTCCAGTTTAGCTAGAGATATGCTCAAAAATTCAAAAATTAGATATTAATTTGATAGAATTATATTTTATCTTTTATCAGCCAAACAATATTTTGAGGTTTCTAATATTTTGGGAGAAGATGCTCTCTTTGTACCCAAAGGATATAACCACTTCAAATAATGATTATCAGCCTCTGAAGAAGACAAGTAAATGAAAACTGACTGAAACAGAAATAATCCCCAACAAATGAGCTCAAATACTCCTGGGATTGGTCCAGACACCCCGGTGAAATGCGTGACAGGTGGGATTTGGCTCCAATTCCCTTTTTAAATGTCAGTGACAGAGCCTGCACACAAGAGAGCCCCCAGTCTTCTTTTTAGCTGATGCTCATTGTCAAGGACCCACGCAGATCTCTTTCCCCTTCTAGGATGCGAGTTCTCGGAATTTATGGTTCTCTAGAGAGAATTCATTAAATATTTATTAAGGTGAATGCACTTAAAGCTCTTGCTTTGCTGCCTTGGAATCCAATGTCCTCAATTTCAACAACCAGTTAACATTTAGAAGGATAAAAGGTTAGGGACAGAGGGCCATGGAGATCATCTATGCTGATGGTTAAGAGCGTGGGCTCTGGAGAAAGACCTGGTTGACATCCAGCCTCTGTTGTCCTTGGGCAAGTGACTTGACTCTCTGAACTCATGTATAAAACAAAAATAATACATCCTCTCTTATAGGGGGGTATGAGGATTAAATGAATCCAGATCAAATTGTCTAGGGTGTATCTGCCTTACAGTAGGTGGTAATTAAACAGTAACAGTAGGTGTTATTGTTATTATTGTTTATTACAAGTGACTTCCCATAGTCATCCAACTAACTAGGGCAAGATTCAGGTCCCTTGAATCCCATCATGCCTATGTTCTAAACCATTACAAAAGGAAATACGGAAGAAATATGGTGTTTGCAATTGACAACATTCTCATTCTCATTAGCATGGTCATTATCAATATCCCTCTTTTATGATTAGAGTTAAAAAGGGATGTTACCATTAAATCCAAGAAATTCCTTATGAAGCCTTTTAAATTCATCTTACTTGAAGTCTTCGGGGTGGATGCCTTTTAATAATACTTGTTTCTCCCTGTTCCAGTGGGATGTCAAAATACATGGCCCTGGGCACTTGAAGGGTTAGGGGAGAAACAAGAACAAACCATTAAAAACAATTTACTATTAAATTAGGCTGATTGTTAATTTTTAAACTTTGTTAATAAAATTTTGGGCCTTTTCAGTTGTATGTGTCTAACCTATGGGTTGAATGTGAAGATGAAACACATAAAGCAGCACCCCTACATGGATGCAGAAGATAAAATACTAGCCTAGACCTAGGATTTAATTTCTGCTTTCCTCATTTCCCTCCCAGATTGATATTTAGAGGATGATCCACACAATTAACAGTGTTTGACTACAAATGTTATTCAAACATAAAATTTGGCCTGGAAAATAGAAACAATGATTTGTTTTAATTTCATGAAATCTCCCCCAAATAATATAGAAAATCAGAAAAAATACAGCTTTAAGAAATGAAAACAAATTCTCTCTTCAGATGAAATAGATAGATGATAGGTATGAGATAGAGAGATGATAAAGAAATGGAGCATGAGTGTGTCATAGGAGTATACAATACTTAGCATTGTATCTGCCCAATTAAATAGCCCCCCAACCAGGGAAAGAAATTCCCACAAGTTGCCACTATCATACAACGGATCAATGTTCTTTCCTGATACAACAACCCGGGCTACAGAGTTAAGCCTCATTAGGAAAGAGAGAGCCTTGAGAGATCTATTATGGATTTGATTTTTTAGCTTCATTGTCCTGGGCCCTTGGGACTACTACCATGACCAACCCTGCTTGAATGAAGCTTTCTCTCTCGTCCTTTCCTCTTAACAATTTGGGAGCATTCTGATTTCTAGATTGTTGTGTAGACTATCCTATAGTCCTACTTTACATTTCAAATGGAAAAATCCCTGGGTAGTTATGTGTTTCTATCCTTAAGACATTTGAATGACCTCCTTAAGAACTTCACTGTATTCTTATTTTCTTTCAAGAGATGCTAGCTCATTGAGCAAGACAGAAGCAACAATAATGACAACAAAAAACATGTTGGATTTAAAAATGCAAATATTTTCAGCAAAACTTTTTTCAGCAGCATGACTACTCCTTATTGTCATACTATGATTTGAGTGATATCACCCCATAGTTTAATTTGATTCTCCCAAAATGGCACAGGCTGTGTCAGGCAGTTATTTTTACCTGATTTACAGGTGAAGAAGATTGATGAAGTAATTTGCCCAAAGTTATGCTATTTGGCATTTGGTGGAGCTGGGGATAGAATATGGGCCCCTTGAAAATAGTGATCAGAATGCCCACCATCCCTTTGTTATTTATTTTTAATGTGATTTTACCATTTCAAAAAAGAGAACATTTCCCAGTTGGGACTCTAATGCATTAGAATCAGCTTTTACCATTCAGTTACCAAAATCTTAAGGCTCTGGATAGCGGGTTTGAATAAAAAAGGAATTCTCCAATGAAACTAAGAGGAAAATTTGCACTCATGTGCTTAGGAAGTTGAACATAAGATAGGCCATATATTGGGGCTGGCTCCATGACATAGTGATTAAGTTTGGTGCACTCTGCTTTGGTGTCCCAGGATCACGGGTTTGGATCCCAGGTGCAGACCTGCACCACTTGTCAGCCATGCTTTGGCAGTGACCCACATATAAAGTTGAGGAATATTGGCACAGACGTTAGCTCAGGGCTGATCCTCCTCAAGCAAAAAAAGAGGAAGATTGGAAACAGATGTTAGCTCAGGGCTAGTCTTCCTCACGAAAAAACACAATAGACCATATAGAACCAATCAAAGATTGTCAGTTCTACAGAAAGTAGCCATGAAAATTATTCTAGGTAAGGTCTCCTAGTTACTGAAAGAGAATACAAGACCTTGAGGTCAAGTTGACCTATAGTGGGAACTTAGTTTTGTTACTGATCCAGAAAGAGAAGGAAAGAGGAAATTACATACATATATACATAGGTATACATTATACGTGTATATTTCTCTTCCCTAGTTAGAATGTTTATTTAATTATCATTGTGTTCATCACTAATTATCATTGTGATTGTCATAAAACATTTTACATGTTTTGTAAAATATCCCAGGAAAATTTATCCCAGCCACTTCAGTCTCAGAGCTTCTAATCATAAAGGGAAAAAATTCTCTCAGTTCTGCAGACGACCATGAAGAATATGAGATTGGCGAGAGGGTGATTCATGTACTCATCTGTGCTGCAATCAATCAGTTCTGTGTGAGGTGGTTTCCAAATTCACATTAGAATGGATTCACTCTTAAAGCGCTGCTTTCAAAACAACAAAGCCTGATGCATTCAACAGCACTGGAGAAAATGATTTAAATTTAGAATCTAACTGAAACATATGATTGTTATAACTCATCACATCTTTATACAATTTTAATCGTCTGGCAATGCTAGGTATAAACATTGGAAGTACTATAAACTAAGCTGAAACAAAATGATTTTTTCCTTCTCATGTGGAATGGTGAAAGCCCCTTGTATACAGCGTAATGTACCCCATCTAAGGTACCATTCTAACGTACCCAGAATACTTAGAACTGACAAATATTCAGCCTCCCATTGAAAGATTTTCCTTTACGTTTCAGCAATTTAGAAACTTTCTAAGATGATGAGATAGACAGGTAAATCTATCAGTAGCTCTCCTTGGCCCAAATACACAAATATCAAGTGGGGTTTCACGTTTACCTGCAGAATACCTTCCATACCAGGTCTCTCGTAGAGGTGGCAGCTGCCCTTCCAAAGCTTTACTCCGGTCCTGCAGTCTCGTGAACGAATATGAACTCTTTTCTTCCAGCTTCTGATTGAATACAACGTCCACAGGGCCAGCTGAGCGAGGCTCTTCCTCTTTGTTTTGCAAAGGTGCTACTTTGGTCACCCTTGGGTGAGCCCTCGAGTGGCTCAGGCCCATTTCACGTTAAAGACATTCAGAGGAAAACCATGAAGGATGTGGTTTGGGGGCCACTCATGCAGCTTGCTGTAATCAAGGTACTCAGAAGTTTAGCCCTGCCTTACAAAGCAGTCATCTCCTTCGTGACATCTTTCTGGCTCTATTTCACCACACACTGACCCTCTGGCCACTTCCTGGTGGCCTGTTTCCATGGAGACCTCCCTTCAACTCCTACTTTGCCATTTCAGACCCAAAGAATCCAGTTAAACATTGACTAGTTATACTGCTTTCTGAAAGACTCAGTGGTAGGAATAGAAGCCACTATTGATCATTAAACAAATCTCTAACACCAGGAAGGCCATTAACAGAGATGGAGTGCAGAGGGTTAGAGAAGTCTTAAACTTGACCCTTCCCCTGCATGCACCTTTAATCACCATCTGCAATCACTACCAACTGAGAACAGCCAAGTCACCTTTGGAAACAGGGGTGCATGCTAATCATTGAAGGCTTTGTTAATCTTTAATTTAAATGGAGAATTTATCTTCCAGATAGGAAAGGAAACAGCAGAGTGGCTAAAATAATTTGATTTTTCTGTCAAAAACTTGAATAACCTTTGAGGGAGATGGACGTGTTATGGGAGTGTGGGGAGGCAACAGCAATCTTTTCCTGGGGACAAGGGAACAAACTTCTTGAATGTATGGTTCACGTAAAACTTGAGCTTTCAAAGATAGCCATTTACTATGTTAAAAAAAAATACGGAAAAAAAAGACTGGAAGGAAATGGCTGAAATGTTGAGTAGTGATTTTTGAATACTGGGATTATAGGTGACTTTTATTTTATTTATTAGGTTTAGAAACAGAACTCACTTTCCAGTTCTAATTGTTCATGATCACAGATTACTTGTTTTCGTCATATCACCGTAGAGAAGTTCAAAGACATTCATTTTCCATTTTTGCAGAACCCGTGTTCTAGGAAGCTAACATGAGTTTGGACAGTCTTGATACTGATATAGTTCATCTGAAAAGATGTCTGAGCTTAATCTTCCTCCACTTGTGTGGCATTTTACACACAATTTTCTCTGTGGCAGAGAGACTTGTAAGAAAGAATCATATACTAGTAGAAGCTGGAACAAAATTACCTCTGGTAACTAGAGACTATCTTAATTATAAAGATGACAATTCTTGCACAATATCTAGTCGGATTTATTTTTGAATACGATCAGTTTAAGTATTTCTAAGGGCAGGGGGAAGTATTGCAAACTAACAAGTGAAGTAGAAATTATACTGGAAACTGTGGACTTCATGGATCTGGACCAGTGAGGATTCAGCTCTCATTTTTCACCTTATTATTATTTAATTTCGAGAGACTATTTCTATGGAGAACATGAGCCTTTGTAGAGGCAGTTGGTTAGTTGTTGAGGACATGGTTAAAGAACTGAAGATTTACACCATGTATGTTTCTCTTTTTATTTCTAGCCACTTCCAAGCTTTGTAATTTGTGCAGATTATGTATTCCATGCCTCCATGCCCTCATCTGTAAAATGTGGTTAATCATAGTACTTTGTGAGGAATGAATCAATTGATTCCGTTTATAGCTCTTAGAATAATACCTGACATACGGCAAGCTCGGAGTAAACCTCAGCCAGCGTTCTCTTCCTGAGGAAGTATTGCTACACGTCTACATGTAATAGGACGGTCCTTATTACCCATCGGTCAGAATCCATTAACTAGACATAGCTCTGTCTAAAGGAGTTTACACTTAGTATAGAACGGACCAGTGAAGAAGGAGTGAATTAATTGGGCCTATTGACTGAGAAAACAGTGATGCCTAAGGTCGATCACTAAAAATCTTCGTGTGCCGAAAGGATTATATTAGAATGATACTGAAAAATAACTTCAATTTCATTAAAAGGGGAAAAGGAGAATTTAACCTCACCTATATAGTTATATGTAAGACATAATTTCTTTTTTTTATTTATTTATTTTTTTATTTTATTTTTTCATTTTTCTCCCCAAAGCCCCCCGGTACATAGTTGTGTATTCTTCGTTGTGGGTTCTTCTAGTTGTGGCATGTGGGACGCTGCCTCAGCGTGGTCTGACGAGCAGTGACATGTCCGCGCCCAGGACTCGAACCAACGAAACACTGGGCCGCCTGCAGCGGAGCGCGCGAACTTAACCACTCGGCCACGGGGCCAGCCCCAGACATAATTTCTTAACTGGAAGAGTTGGAAAACATTAAGAAGCTCTCACCCACCAAAAAACCTTGACCTCTTCTCAGACTGCTGGTGATACTTTATAATGATTCTTTCCTAGTTCAAGAATGGTTATGAATATGCATTATTGTGTGTAAAGATGATAAAATATGATGTTATTTGTAAGAGAATTTGTGAATATGAAATGAGAATCTAAGTTTATAAATCTGTTAAGATAAGGCAGAGAAGGGATTAGTTAAACTTTTCTAAAGCTCAAGATAACGCCCAGAGAAAACTTTATTTTCTTTTTCAGGTGTACCTTGTAATATACTTCAAATTCTGTGTAGATTACATCATATTCACCACCCAAAGACTAATTACAATCCATCACCACACACATGTGCCTAATCACCCCTTTCACCCTCCTCCTTCCCGCCTGCTCCTCTGGTAACCACTTATCCAATCTCTGTTGCTATTTGTTGTTTGTTGTTGTTTTTATTTTCTACTTATGAGTGAGATCATATGGTATTTGACTTTCTCCCTCTGACTTACCTCATTGAGCATAACACCTTCAAGGCCCATCCATGTTGTCACAAATGGCCAGATTTCATCATTTCTTATGGCAGAGTAGTATTCCATTGTGTATATATACCACATCTTCTTTTTTTTTTTATTGAGTTAATGATAGGTTACAGTCTTGTGAAGTTTCAGTTGTACATTAATGTTTGTCATTCATGTTGTAGGTGCACCACTTCACCCTTTGTGCCCACACTCCCCCCTCCCCCCCACCTTTCCCCTGGTATCCACTAAACTGTTCTTAGTCCATAATTTTAAATTCCTCATATGAGTGGAGTCATACACAGATTATCCTTCTCTAGCTGGCTTATTTCACTTAACATAATTCCCTCAAGGTCCATCCATGTTATTGCAAATGGAATGATTTTGTTCTGTTTTGCAGCTGAGTAGTATTCCATTGTATATATGTACCACATCTTCTTTACCCATTTGTCTGTTGATGGGCACTTAGGTTGCTTCCATGTCTTGGCTATTGTAAATAATGCTGCAATGAACATTGGGGTGCATAGGACTTTTGGGATTGCTGACTTCAAGCTCTTTGGATAAATACCCAGTAGTGGGATGGCTGGATCGTATGGTAGTTCTATTTTTAATTTTTTGAGGAATCTCCATGCTGTTTTCCATAGTGGCTGCACCAGTTTGCATTCCCACCAGCAGTGTGTGAGGGTTCCTTTTTCTCCAAACCCTCTCCAACATTTGATATTTTTAGTTTTAGTGATCATAGCCATTTTAATAGGTGTAAGGTGGTATCTTAGTGTAGTTTTGATTTGCATTTGCCTGATGATTAGTGATCTTGAACATCTTTTCATGTGTTTATTGGCCATCTGTATATCTTCTTTGGAAAAATGTCTGTTCATATCCTCTGCCCATTTTTTGATCGGGCTGTTTGTTTTTTTATTGTTTAGTTGTGTGAGTTCCTTTATATTATAGAGATTAATCCCTTATCAGATATATGATTTGCCAAAATTTTCTCCCAGTTGGGGGATTGTCTTTTGGTTTTGATCCTAGTTGCTTTTGCCTTACAGAAGCTCTTTAGTCTGACGAAATCCTACTTGTTTATTTTGTTTGTTTGTTTCCCTTGTCTGAGAAGACACAGTATTCAAAAAGATCCTCTTAAGTTCCATGTCAAAGAGTGTACTGCCTATATTATCTTCCAGGAGTTTTACAGTTTCAGGACTTATTTTCAAGTCTTTGATCCATTTTGAGTTTATTTTTGTTTATGGTGTGAGATAATGGTCTACTTTCATTCTTTTGCATGTGGCTGTCCAGTTTTCCCAATACCATTTATTGAAGAGACTGTCTTTTCTCCATTTTATGTTCTTGGCAGCTTTGTCAAAGATTAGTTGTCCGTATATGTGTGGTTTTAGTTTTCATTGTATAAGTCCTTTGCCTCCTTAGTTAAATTTATTCCTAGGTACTTTATTCTTTTGTTGCAATTGTAAATGGAATTGTATTCTTTTTTTTCTTTTTTTAAAGATTGGCACCTGAGCTAACAACTGTTGACAATCTTTTTTTTCCCTGCTTTTTCTCCCCCAAAACCCCCAGTACATAGTTGTATATTTTAGCCATAGGGCCATCTAGTTGTAGCATGTGGGATGCCACCTCAACGTGGCCTGACGAGCGGTGCCATGTCTGCACCCAGGATCCGAACCAGTGAAACCCTGAGCTGCCAAAGTGGAGCTTGAGAACTTAAGCACTTGGCCATGGGGCCAGCCCCAGAATTATATTCTTGAGCTCTTTTCTGTAAGTTCCTTATTAAAGTACAGAAACACAACTGATCTTTATAAGTTGATTTTGTACCCCGCAAGTTTACTGTAGTTGTTAATTATTGCTAATAGTTTTCCAGTGGATTCTTTAGGCTTTTCTATATGTAAGATCATGTTGTCTGCAAACAGTGAGAGTTTCACTTCTTCACTCCCTATTTGGACTCCTTTTACTCCTTTGTCTTGCCTAATTCCTCTGGCCCAAACTGCCAGTACTATGTTGAATAAGAGTGGTCATAGTGGGCATCCTTGTCTTGTTCCTCTTCTCAGAGGGATGGCTTTCAATTTTTCCCCATTGAGTATGATGTCGGCTGTGGGTTTGTCATATATGGCCTTTATTATGCTGAGGTAATTTCCTTCTATCCCCATTTTGTTAAGAGTTTTTATCATAAATGACTGTTGGAGCTTGTCAAATGTCTTCTCTGCATCTATTAAGATGATCATGTAGTTTTTATTCCTAATTTTGTTAATGTAGTGTATCACATTGATTGATTTGCAGATGTTGAACTATCCCTGTGTCCTTGGAATAAATCCCACTTGATCATGGTATATGATCTTTTCGATGTATTGCTATATTCGGGTTGCCAATATTTTGTTGAGGATTTTTGCATCTGTATTCATCAGTGATATTCGCCCGTAGTTTTCCT